AGGATATTGTGGTACCAGGGATACGTTCGGTATACCGTAGAGGTACCAGGTAGCGTTCCGCAGCGTACACCAGGGGGACTAGACCCTCTTAGTTGTTAGTTGGCCTCCAAATGGTGCGGCCCGAAGGATAGAGACAGTGGTCCAATAAACCACATTTGCCTACTAACCTAATTCTCTAACCTGTTACCCTACCTATCCTGTTACCCTAACCATAACATAAACTACTATTGATTGTAATTATGTCTTTATGTATTGATGTAATGGACATTGGTTTTATTGGGACCATGTTTTTTCTTGAACCAAAGTGTTACTGCGAAAATGAGGGATCACAGCGGTTAAAAAGGGTATTTGCCGGGAATTTTGCTCAGAATAAACTAATATAGCTCTGATATAGTTTCCCTGACAGGCGAAAATTCACTGATTACACCAACATTCAAAACCCAAGTTTTATGCAGTTATAAGCATAGGAGATTGATTTGACCAATTACCAGACAATAATTTGTGCGTGTCAGGCGGGGAAAAAAACGGGGGCGGGGTGCGATATTTCGCCCGAAATGCAAAAAGAGCCCCGAAATCGATTCTGGGGGCGATCCCAAGCAAAGTCGCTGGAATCGATGTCCAGGTCAATGGTCTCCGCGCCTGCGATCTCGCTCGGCCTCTGCCGCTAGCGGCAGCGGTTCACGGCCGGCGGTAGATGTTCTGGTAAGTGTGGCTGTCAAGTGTTTGATCATTAGTCATGCATGTGTGTATTTGATTCAATCTGAAGCGCGTCGCGGTCCGCCGGCGTTAATTACTATAGTGTGTGCCTCGTGAGCTGTGTCTTGCGTGTCTGCTGCGGCGTGCGTGCGATGCGTGTGTGCTGCTAGGCTGTGCTTAGCGTGTGTGCACTGTCGCGCGTGCGTGCCTCGCGCGTGCGTGCTGCGCGCGTGCGTGCTGCGCGCGTGCGTGCTGTGCGGGGCGGTCTAGTGTGTGCGGTTGTGGCCTGCGGGCGTGCTGCTGTGATATTGCCTGCGCTGCGATGCTGTGCGTGCCTTGAGCGCTGTGCGTGCCTGCATGCGTGCCGTGGCGTCTGTGTGTCGGTGGTGTGCCTGCCGGGTCGTGCACGTGCCGTTAGAGACCAACGACAGTATGGGATGGTGTAGACGGGTAATCATGGAAAAATCCTATTGAAATTCACACGTATATTTTTCCCTGGCGAGCACACTGTGTTGTCTTCCCGATTGTGCTTTTGTTTGTCAATTCGCGAAGGTTTTTGCTGCCGCTCTTCATGGTCCGCATGACACCTCTATAATCTTTGTAGTTTGATTAGTTACACGCTGAACATCGTGCCCCCCCCTATTCAATCAATGCCGCCCTGCCGCAGGCACGATACGCAGCGTCGATGTGCACAGCCATTCCACGTTGCTCGCGGACCGCTTTCTTCAAACCCTGGCTTCAGGGCCCTTACTGGGGCCTTTGAACCAGCGGCAAAGAAATTCGGTTAAACATCGATCCTTAGCTCGTAGGGGATTTACTATTTGGGTAGCTGTAATAGTTTCTGTGTTTGTGACCTGTTGATGTATTACTTTCATTTGGTGGTTGTGATGTGTAGTTTGTTATCAGTTTTCTTTAGTCTGTCAGTGGTGAGATAACTTGTGATATTTGACTGTTGTGGTCTGTTGTGTGTCTGTGTGTTGTGTGTGTGTGCGTGAATGCGTGCGTGCGTGTGCTGGGGGTGCGGGTGCGGGCTTGAGTGGTGATGTGGTTGTGTGGCGGCGCCCCGCGATGTGTGTATTAGCTCTGGTGTGTGTATCATTTGAGGAAAACAGCTTCTGGAAAAAGTTCGGCCTGGAAAGTGGAGGTTAGCAAAAGAGCCTGGAAATGAAAAGTAGCCTGAATTTTGGGGGGGTTTGCAAAAAGAGCCCGAAAGAAAAAAAATTATTTTTTCATTGTGCGTCTGCCCGATTCAAATCACAAATGGCGTCTTTGAACTATGCATAATTAACCAAGAAGGGCGTGCAATTTGTTGGTAAATTTATTGAGATAATTTATCGTCAAATAATTCAGAGCACTTTCTGTCATTGTCATTCCGTGTTACTATCTGACTTGGATTCCAAGGCTTCTCTTTATTAACAGCTTTAGTGGAGGGGTTAGTATACACTGCTGTTACGCTAGTATGAACGTCGTTGTGTGTTCACTCTGACCTGGGTTTAGGTGCGACGGTATTGCATTATTTACACTGATAGATGTCTCGCGCTACGGCGAGGAAAATCCGAGGGATGGCAAGGGTAACAGGAAACAGAACGCAAATTGTAATCGTGCTGATATTCATTTGCATGAGTGCATGATCACTGGAATTTCTCGCATACTCGCTGTTAATAGCATATAGTGGCAGTTTATGGTGTGTCCAGCAACACGGTGAACGCGGCTCGTTGGAAGCCATGCGGCCCGGCCCTCCCCCAATTTTTTTTTGAAACTTAGAGCCTGGAAATGGCATTTCCTGCATTTTCAGGCCAATTCTGTGGCTCATTTTAACAGTTAAAAGCCCGTCAATTTTGTAATTTCAAAGAGGAATGGTAGCTAAATGATGTTTTTGATCTAAAGTATCTAATATATATTATGATGAGTATGATAACTTATAAACTTGTTTACAAAATTGTTATACCGTATTACTCGCGTAATACACACGCATTTTGGCTTTCGGGATTTAACCTGTATTTGCTCTGGCGGTTATAAGTGCGCTCATACGTGAGGGGAAATTACTAGGCTAATACTTAGTTACCCGGTTCAATATGGAAGGTGCGGCATTATAGCGCCCCGCGGTTATTACGCGATCATATACGGTACTATCCAGTATCAGTACATAATTATTGAAAAGATAAGCCTAGTTTCATCTGATTATAATTTCACGCTATTACATTTCTGTATTTTTGAAGTTTGAAATTGATTCAAATTACCTTTATATTAGTAGACATGCTAATGAGCACAGTTAGGGGGGTTGACTTCAAATCATTGCTTTACAATAGTTTCCTATGGCATAATCGTTCTTAGTGGCACAGGAACAAATTATCCAAGACACAACGTTCTATCTCAAAATCAAGGATGGCCGCCGGTGGCACTTTTGGAAAACTTGTCGACTCACAATCTCTGAACTCTTGGTATAGAACTATTGTGACACATGTTTTTGAGCTTAATTTTGAGGCACGTGATTCATTTTTTGGCTTAATTTTGCTTTGGAATACATTTAGAGGTAAGTTCAAATAATACACAAAGTTCGGCAATTCGATGAATTTATGGCAAAAAATTTACCTGGGACATTTTGATACTAGAGAAAGGAACGTGATTAGGCTCCTTTTTAAACAATGACGTAACATATGCCATTGTATAAGCAAGTAGACATGCGTCTTAGATCATGTATCTAGACAATGATGTTCGATCAATCACTCGGAACTCTCCTTGATAGGTGAAGTAGTTAGGTTTATAACACACCTAACCTACTACCACTACACGCATCCAGCTACTGCAAACATGTCAAATTTCTGTTGTTGTCTTTAGCTTAGTCAATAATGAACACTAAAAGCTATTGTGAAAATGTACTGGAGTATATGCGCTTCATATGCCATCAGGTGTAGGTACATAAGCCAACTATGAATCCTCAGTCATCAGTGAAATGCGAAATAATCTGGAAAGGCTTTTAGCTTGCTTACAAGAAGTTGTGGACAAACATGGAGGCTTTCATGGATTAGGTGATTTTGCCTGACTTTGGTGTTGTAGATAGCATGTGGTGGTGGTGGTCCGTGATGGTGGTGGTGGTGGTGGTGAGTGCTCAAAATTACTGAAGCTAATGATGTGTAATAAATGGTGTGGCCATAAAGTTGCAGGAATGCTGTTGCATCCAAAAGGAAGTAGGGCAAGAAGAAACTTAGACAAGAGTTCAGTCGCCCTGTAAAAAATCGCTGCATGACAGTGGTGCCTGTCATCACAAAGGCTTTCCTCAGCTCTTATTATCTTTTTAGTAAACCAGTTGACACTCCTATGTCTTTCTGTGATGAAATGGGCCAGGAAGATATGATGGAAGGCTGACTTTGGCTTGGACAAGAGAGTCAATGATTGTGATAGACTGTTAGGTGCAAAGTGCCTGTTGGCAAAAACTTTTCCACTTGGCGTGCTTTGATCGCCATTATGCTGTCTACCTTGGGCATGCCTGACCGGCTATACAGAAAAGTGGGACGTCGGTTGTGACTATGACTGGCAGTGATAAAAACTCAAGTGATTGCGAGCACATGTTCTCAATGGTGGAGTTGATTCATGGGTTTGAGATAATCGTACGTGCAGGCACTCAACTAGCAATTGGCTGACTACAGGCCCTCTAGTGACAGTGCTTGCTGTTTCTCGTTTTTTTCGCAATAAATAGACACATACACGCTTAGAGAGAGATTGAACGGCTGATCCCTGATCAGCGTAACAAATGAATCGTTGTGGTCTCTTGTTTTGAAGAGGGATCTAAGCAAAAGCTGTGGTTGAAGACAGCTGATCATTCACTGAGGTTCCATCCTTCAAAGAGCCAAGATCATCCGTCGTGACTATCTCAACTATGAGGCAGGTGTGTTTCAAGGCTCCTTTCCAAACGATGTGAAAGCTTGAATTCATCCCACTACATTGAGAACATTCTCAATGCTTGTCTGGATGCGACCGGGTATTGATAGCGACCTCCTGGAATCAGCAATGTCATTACGGGGAACAAGGACTTCATTGGATGCCTGTCACAGAATGTGCTTGGCCAGCAAATCTGCGGTCACTTGGCTTGTTGGTTCCTTGGACACAGCATACTGTGATTTTTCTGCGTGGTTGAGACGTTGAGGCCTTGAACACTTTAGCTTGGTTGAATATTAGTTCTGGTGTGTTGTGTACAGACGATTGCATAAGGTGCGTGTAGGCATGTGTGTACGACAGGAAATGTATTCACCACTTTATTGAAAGTACTGCTTATAGTCTATTAATTTTCATGGTTCCCGAACTGTCCCTATAATTATGGAACCGCTGTACTGATAACAGTACTAGTAATAGATTGTTCTGATGATGATATCTAAATAAGAAAATATTTTTGGAGATGTTAATGTGTATGGAACAGCATGCTTTGTTTTATAAATATGTTTCTTTAATGTTTTGGTTGCGTACTTCAGACCATGATACCAGACTCGACACAGGATGTTAGAAAGGAACTGGCTCCAACCAGTCGGACAGCCAAGGAAAGAAACATAAGTATGGCTAAAGATATGAAAGGAAAGAAAAGGAAGTCCAAAGAGCTATTAAAGAAGAAAGGCACAAAGAGAAAGAAGGCTGAACAGACACGGGTTGGTTTCAAAATGCAATTCGTCCATCCACTGTCCCCCTCACCAGGATTGTATGTAATGTTATGAATAGTATATATATAATGGTTTTACTTGGAAGCCTGCTGCAGCAAGTGCATACAAGCCATGGTAGCATTTAACAAGCTTTTACAAGATGATAAACTCATCTGTCATCAGAGTATACAGAATACTCCTGTTGCATCGTTACTTTAATTTATATGTACACATTACACAAGTGTCATTTGCAGAATATGCCATGGGAAAAAACATTGCCAGCACATAACTGTGCCTTTTAGTCTGTGAATTTCTCATGAATTCATTTAAAAAATCATCGCAACAAATGGTCAGTGTTGCTATTAAAAAATCAGGAGAGGATATCTGCATCATTTTTAGTCAATGGGCACACCTCATTCAATTCCAAACCTACATCTAACTTCAGCTGTCCAGTACAGGTTGCCTGCCATATCCAGCACTATGTGGATCAGTAGTATCGGACCCAATTAATATTGAGAGAACTACTAGATACTCTAGACAAAATACTGGTGAAATTGTAGATGATAGCATTACACGACATCTGATTTGCAGTGATTCTATTAAAAAACTTCATTCAAAAATCTTAAGTTAGGAAATAAATTATTGTTACATTTCCTCATCAGGTAAAATTTTCAAGTTCAGACATGTCGCAAAATATAAGATGTAGACGTATATAAACCCACGTGGTATGGCCGAGGTTAGTTCTAGGCATGGAATCGGCTGAGATGTATGGGTAGTTTTCATTTGGGAGTGGGACTCACTGGCAATCTGTAACAATCTGTTGGCTAGGCCACCGAGTCGCCGGGATGTGACGCTGCCGAGATGGACCTGCAGGTGGAACTGAAGCCGATCAGTGACTACGTCGGTGACCGCACAGAGCTAGTAGAGCAGATGATGACGACCATCACCATGCCACAGATCCGACGCATGCTGCCGGACATACTCAAGGTAGGAGCGACCGATTTACGCCGTCGGTTCCCTGGGGTCAGGTTAAATTGACCACCTCGCGAGTTTTCGCGAGGTGTGCGTGTGTGAAAAAACGTACGTAGCACTGCGTACATCCTCTGACATACTCACAACTGATGGGATTGTTTGTAAGCTGAGATAAAATACAAAACCTTGGGGGAATTCTAATTTTAGTAAGCACCAAAATTGCCTGCTATTATTAGTACTACACTGCTGTTACGCTAGTATGAACGTCTGTGTTTACACTCTGACCTGATTTCTAGGGTGCGACGGTATGCATTACTACACCCTGATAGATGTCTCGCGCTACCGCGATAAAATCCGAGAGATGGCAACGGTAAACAGAAACAGAACGCAAAATTGTAATCGTGCATGATTTCATTGGATTTGGTAAATACGAAGGTTCTAAGACATGTTATCATCACTCTAGACAATTTCTGTTACTCAAGCAATAACGGTAGGTATCATGAAAATGGGGAAAACACTGGAAAATTCTCGCAATACACGCTTTAATAGCATAAGTGGCAGTTATGGTGTGTGCCAGCACACGCGGTGAACGCATTTCCTGCATTTTCAGGTTATGTTTAAAGCAACCAATTCTGATCATTTTAAAACAGTAAAAGGTCAATTTGTAAATTTCAAAAAGGAATGTAGCTAAAGCTGATGTTTTGACTAAAGTATCTAAAATATATATTATGATTGAGTATGATAACTAAAAAAACATTGTTTACAAAATTGTAATTTGTATATACCGTATATACTCGCGTAATAACCGCAAATTTGGATTCAGATTTCAACCCTGTATTTGCTCTGTGCAGTTTATAAGTGCACCATACCGTGAGGGGAAATATACTAGGCGCAATACTTGGTTACCCGGTTCAAATTGAGGTGCGGCTTATAGGCGCCCGCGGTTATTACGCGATCATATACGGTACTATCAGTATCAGTACATAATTATGAAAAATAAGCCTATTTTCAATCTGAATTTATAATTTCACTATGTACATCTGTATGTTTTGAAGTTTGAATTTGAATCACAAATTCGTGATCGGGCGATTAAATTCGCTGGCGATTTTAATCGCCGCGATCGGGCGATAAAAATCGCTCGTGTGCCCCTAGCATAAACCCCAACATACCATATACATACAATATATAGGTACATCATATCCTA